ACAAACTACCTGAATCATAAAGAATCTACGAAACATTAAGTAAAAATTCTCTAACTTGTTTCTGAAACTAAAAAAAAAAAATAACTTCTATATCAATGGAAGCTAATCTGTTTACAGAAATAAAAATGGAACTATTTTTCATTATATGTATGCTTCTTTCACTTACTTGTAACTCATAAAACAATTTTTAATTAAACAATTTTTAATTAAACAATTTTTAATTAATAGCCATTCAATAATATTATCAATCATGACTTTCATCAAACTATAAAGAATAACATGACTAATTACTCTTACATCCTAGAACCTGAGTTTCAGTCCAGGATCAAGCACTTGGCTGCATGCACTTGCCTCATAGAGTTGTCCTAAGGCTCAAAGATAATGTAAACAAGACAGGGTGGCATTGTTGAAAAAAGACACAAATAGATCAGTGAACAGAATAGAGAGCCCAGAGATGGGCCCACACAGAGTCAGCTGATCTTTGACAGAGAAGCAAAGGCAATTGATTGGAAAAAGATAGTCTTTTTAGCAAATGGTGCTAGATTTCTAATACTTTCATCTTTGTTTTTCTATATTTTCCAAATGTCTGTAAAATAAAAATGTGTTAGCACTAAAACCAATTTTTGTAATCTACTGCAGTTTAATTGTATTCAGTAAACAGACCTTATGGGTCTCTCTGGTTAATTGTAAGTGAAAGACTGTATCACCATAATGCTTGTTGTAAATGATCTGATTGGTTGATTATAACCTCATCAATTGCAATTTACAAAGGGACCAATTTAAAATTTTTATTATGTACTTGTTTGTTTTCTCATTTACTTGCTTACACATTTACTTGTTATTTATTTATCCACCTACACTTAAGTTTTAAAAGAAGATTCCAATTAAATGGTATTGTATTTTTTTAATATATTTTTATTGTTGATAATATTGCAGATGTCTCCCATTTACACCCCCTTTACCCTCCTCCCAGTCTCTATCCATTAAATGGTATTGTATTTTAAGTTTAGTGTCTACATGTTTATTGCTACTGTAGAATAGATGCTTTGTGACTTAAAATGGGAATATGTCCCAATAAACCCATCATAAGTTGAAAATGTATTTAATACATCTAACCTACTGAACATCATAGCTTAGCCTAGCTGGTTTATTTTGAAGGCATATCACTTTCTCACCATTGTAAAGATGAAAAATCTCCCTAACTGGGTTTGGCTTGGTAGAAACAGTGTGTGCCTGTGGACCAAAGGGTCCCGGGTTCGATTCCAGTCAAGAGCATGTACCTCTGTTGCAGGTTCCTCTCTGGCCCGGGCCCTGGTTGGGGCTTGTTCGGGAGGCAACCAATTGATGCCTTTCTCTCACATCAGTATTTCTGTCTTTCCCTCTCTCTTCCTCTCTCCCTAAAAATCAGTGGGAAAATATCCTCGGGTGAGGATTAAAAAAAAGAAAAGTCAGCCGAAACCGGCTCAGTGGATAGAGCCTGTGGACTGAAAGGTCCTGGGTTCGATTCCGGTCAAGGGCAGGTACCTTGGTTGCGGGCACATCCCCAATGGGAGATGTGCAGGAGGCAGCTGATCGATGTTTCTCTCTCATCAATGTTTCTAACTCTCTATTCCTCTCTCTTCCTCTCCATAAGAAATCAATAAAATATATATATATTTTAAAAAGTCATAAATCAAACCATCATAAGTCAAAGACTATCTGTATATAGAAATTTATATGTTTGTATTCTTGTGACCTTGTGGAACTCACTCTTTAGTTGTAGGAGATTTTATATATTGTAGATTTGGGGTTTTCTTTTTCTTTTCTTTTTTTAAATATTTTATTGATTTTTTACAGAAAGGAAGGGAGAGAGATAGAGAGCCAGAAACGTCGATGAGAGAGAAACATCAACCAGCTGCCTCCTGCACACCCCCTATCGGGGATGTGCCCGCAACCAATGTACATGCCCTGACCGGAATCAAACCTGGGACCTTTCAGTCCGCAGACCGACGCTCTACTACTGAGCCAAACCGGTTTCGGCGGGTTTTCTTTTTTTTAATGGGTAATTAGGTTTTATTAAAATCCCAAAGGTGACATTTTGAAAAAACTCATATTTTAAAAATACATAATGGTTCTTACCTCCCTTGAGGTTTTGTGTATAACACCAACAAGATTTGAGCACAATTTGTCTATTTAGATCTGGGTTTTTCGTTTGTCTATTTTTGTTTGTTTGTTTGTTTTTATCTAAAGTTTTACATAAGTCTCGTTTTTTCCCAATTGACCCTGCCCCCCACCAGGATTTTCTATATAGGCAGTCTAGTCATCTATTTTATTTCTTCCTTTCCAATCTGTATGCCTTTTATTTTATTTTCTTTATTGCATTGGCTAAAACTTCCAGTATAGTGTTGAATAAAAGTGGTGAGAATAAGTTTTCTTGCCCTTCGTTAGGGTTAATTATAATGCTAGCTGTATGTTTTTGTGGATGCACTCTCTCACGCTGAGGATGTACCCCTTCCCATGTTTTGAGAATTTTTTTCGTGAATGGGTGTTGGATTTTTTAAAAATATATTTTATTGATTTTTTTACAGAGAGGAAGGGAGAGAGATAGAGAGCTAGAAACATCGATGAGAGAGAAACATCGACCAGCTGCCTCTTGCACACCCCCCACCGGGGATGGGCCCACAACCAATGTACATGCCCTTGACTGGAATCTAACCTGGGACCTTACAGTCCACAGACGGATGCTCTATTCACTGAGCCAAACGAGTTTCGGTTTCTGTTAAATGCTTTTTAGCTTGTTAATAGGTAGATTCCATTGATTGATCTTAAATATTGAACCAGCCTTTTATCCTTTGGATAAAACCTAGTCATGGTACTGAATTCTTTTTATTTATTGCTGATTCTGTTTTCAAATTTGAAAATCACGATTACCAAGCTCATTTTATTTGTCTTAAGAACCTTTTGAGGAGCCCTTTACCTGTTATTAAGATAAAAATTGAATGATTGTGGGAAAGGAGAGAAGTTACTGAATCTGAGGAAAGAGATTATAGGAGCAATCATGTCCCTTCATTGGCGTAAAAGAGATCAAGGAACTATGAGTGTAGGATATGGAGAATCTGTTCTCTGTGGCTATTTAAATAGTCTAGAATGATGGTAAGATTTGGAGTGAAGAGACCCTCCAATGATCTGGCGGTTACTGGAGGAGAGGGAAGGGAAAGGCCTATGTGCTGTCCGTCTGCATTGTAAGGCCTCTGCAGGTCAGTGTCTTACCCTCGTAATCCACGTCTGACACAGCACCCTTCAGGGGCACGTCCATATGCATTTAATAAAATAAATGCATACTTTATAATTAATAGATCCCACCAGAACAGCGGGTTTATGTGAAAATTTAAATCAACTCTATGCTTAGATTTAAAGTTAATCTGTAGTTATTGAGAAACTATTGTAATAATAGCAAAAAGTACTTAGTGCTTACTATGTACAAGATACTGTTCTAATCACTATATATATGTGTATATATATATATTTTTTTTCCTTTAATCCTCCTAACAGGTACATCTTACTATCATTCCCATTTTATAGATAAGAAAACTGAGGCACATAGTAACTTGCCTGATATCAGGTAGATAGTAAGTGATAGAACCAGCATTCAAAAGCCACAGTCTGGTTTTAATCCTTCCACCATCTTTGTAATTTTTTAAATTTTTAATTATAGGACTTATAGAAGCTATTTATGACATTTTTTTGAAATTCATCTTTGTTCCCTGGCTCATGCAGTAAATTATATTTCCTGGTCCAGAATTTTATAATGAAACTTCAACCTATTGGTTTATAGAATTAATATAGAATTTATTCATTTTTGAGGTGACAGCTATATAACTTTCAGTGTTACATTATTTTTAAAATATATATTTTTATTGATTTTAGAGAGGAAGGGAGAGGGAGAAAGAGATAGAAACATCAATGATGAGAGAATCATTGATCGGCTGTCTCCTGCATGCTCTGTACTAGGGATTGAGCTTACAGCCTGGGCATGTGCCCTTGACCAGATTCGAACCCAAGACCCTTCAGTCCACAGGCCAACACTCAATCCATTGAGCCAGACTGCTTAGGACTGGGTTACATTATAATTTAATATCTGTATATACTATAGCTTGCTCACCACCAAAATCTGGATTCCATACATCTCCATATATTTGACCCCCTTTAGCCATTTCACCTCATCCCACCCCTACTCCTCTGGTAACCACTAGTCTGTCCATATCTCTGGCTTTGTTTTTGTTCTATTTTGTTTAGAAATTCTTTTGGAAAGAAGTATTTGGGAAAAAATACGCAAGTATTTATTTGCTTGCCTACTGTGTATCATGCCTTATGCCAAATGGATAAGATATCTGGGAGCTATTTTCCTACTTTCTGTTGTAAAACTGCCCCTTTTCCAAATGCAGGTACCTATAAATTCCTCCCTAACATGGCCTTGTGGGGAAGTTTCTTTCTTTGCAGAGTGTGATTCATAAAAGTGAACATTTACAGATTGAAGGAGCACTTTGTTTCTTTATTCAGATTCTAAAGTTATGATAAGCTGAGATTTGGTTTAATTTTCCAAGTAAAGAAGGAACTTTAAAGTGTAAATAATTACTACTTATAGGCATCAGAACTGTATTTACCCATCCTGTCTCAACAAGTTGGTTGTAATTCTTAAGCTTAGAATAGACAGTAGTGACAACTTTGATCTATCTAAATTAAAGATGTTTCATTTATTTGTACTCACATTAAAACTGTTCTGATCTCAAGTTTCTCTGTGGAAGAAATAGATTTAAGCCAGCAAATAAAAGTAAGATGAAAATTATATATGGATAAATTTATTTTAGAGTCCAGAATATTCTTCAGATGCTTCCAAAAGTCTGAGTATTTTGTTTAATAAGTGGTTGGAAAGTTAACGTACCTAGAAAATGTAGAAAAATTAAATAGAAGTTTTAAATGTGCTTTTAATAATTCTAAAATTTGAATTTTTTTTATTGCAGCTCAGATCGTCTGATAGAAGAGACAATAAGGTAGGAATACTTTGTTTTACTTTATTGTATTTTTTGTTTGCACACAAATGAACAGATCTGGTTAACCTTGTAAATAGAGTTAAAGTTAATTCATCCTCCTTAAGATGTGAATTTAATTAGGTTATAATGTCTTTTTGTGTGTGTGTGTGTTTTGTTATATCTTTCCCTTGTAAGAGACATGTGATGCCCAGGCTCTTTTACCTAGGTTGATTTTTCTGATTAATTTATACTATTTTTTTTAGCCTTACGCTTTATTCTCTAGTGTCTTGAGCAGTTCATAAAACAGGTAAGAAAGTTGAAGTTCCTGTAAGCACATCAATGATTTATCATTTTAAAAGCATTATATATTATTTGCAGCTTATGCTTTGCCTCTTACTATTTAACCCTTGAAATAACAACAGTCTAGATTCCACTCAGCTTGACTCCAAATGATGGTATGAGATGGGAAAGTGTGTCTAGATATACTTTGTGTGGTACTGGAAATCATGCATATTCAACAAGACAATAACATAATGTATGTTGATAATATCCATTCTCCAAGGAATACAAAGTACTTTGCAGAAATTATTTTTTAATCTTCTCTATCTACTTCTGAGTTAAAGTGCATAGGAGTTGGTGATAGTCCAGTTTAAAAAACAGAGACATATATGATTCAAAGATTGGTGTCAGATTACTCAGCCCAGTTTTTAATTCTGTTACTTTTTATGAGATCATAATATCAATTTTTAAATACTTTGTAAATTTACTTTAAAACAAACACATTTAAATGTACATATGCTGTCATCAAGCGCTTTTAAACTGAAAAATTATGAATAAGAAATAATGACACAAATGACATTGTTAGTTTGACTCTTTTTGTGCTCTTTTTTGTTTTAATCTAAAATTCACTGTTATAATCGCCTGCTTCCATTTGCTCTTTTTTAAACCTCACCTGAGGATACGGTTTTTGTTTTTGTTTTTAATAAATCTTCATTGTTCAGATTATTATAGTTGTTCCTCTTTTTTCCCCCATAGCTCCCCTCCACCAAGTTCCCACCCCACCCTCTGCCCTTACCCATCCCCACTGTCCTCATCCATTGGTGTATGATTTTTTGCGCAGTCTCTTCCCGCTCCCCCCACACCCCTTTCTCTCCAAGGATTGACAGTCCACTCCCTTTCTATGCCCCTGATTCTATTATATTCACCAGTTTATTCTGTTCATCAGATTTTTTATTCACTTGATTTTTAGATTCACTTGTTGATAGATATGTATTTGTTGTTCATAATTTTTATCCTTTACCACCTCTTCTTCTTCACCTTCACCTTCACCTTCACCTTCACCTTCCAGCATTTCATGTAATACTGGTTTGGCAGTGATGAACTCCTTTAGCTTTTTCTTATATGTGAATCTCTTTATCTGACCTTCAATTCGGAATGATAGCTTTGCTGGGTAAAGTAATCTTGATTGTAGGTTCTTGCTATTCATCACTTTGAATATTTCTTGCCACTCCCATCTGGCCTGCATATAGTTTCTGTTGAGAAATCAACTGACAATCATATGGGTACTCCCTTGTAGGTAACTAACTTTTTTCTCTTGCTGCTTTTAATATTCTCTCTTTGTCTTTTGCTCTTGGTATTTTATTATGATGTGTCTTGGTGTGGTTCTCTTTGGATTCCTTTTGTTTGGGGTTCTGTGCACTTCCTGGACTTGTAAGTCTATTTCTTTCACCAGGTGGGGGAAGTTTTCTGTCATTATTTCTTCACATAGGTTTTCAATATTTTGCTCTCTTTCTTCTTCTGGCACCCCCATAATTCTGATGTTGGTACACTTGAAGTTGTTCCAGAGGCTCCTTACACTATCTTCATATTTTTGGATTTTTTTCTTTTTTCTTTTCCGGTTGGGTGTTTTTTGCTTATTTGTATTTCAAATCTTTGACTTGATTCTTGTGATCCTCTAGTCTGTTGTTGTATCTCTGTATATTATTTTTTATTTCAGTCAGTGTATGCTTAAAGTTGGACCTTTTTCATATCCTTGAGGGTCTCACTAAATTTATTGGCAGTTTCTAGAAAATTCTTGAAAAACCTTATAACCGTGGTTTTAAACTCTATATCCAGTAGTTTGCTTTCTTCCATTTCTGCCATTTGTGACCTATTTCTTTGTCTTGGCAGTTTGGCTGCTTCCCTGAGTTGATAGAGTGGCTCTCTCTGTGTGCTAAGTGTCCTGTAGGGCCCAGTGGCTCAGCCTCCCCAGTTACCTGAGATGGACACTCTTGGTGCATCCTTTGTGGGCTGTGTGCACAGTTTTGTTGTAGTTAGGCCTTGATTGCTATTGGTATCACTGTGAGGAATTGACCTCCAGGCCAATTGGCTGTGAGGATCAGCTGTGTTTATGATGGGAGAACTTCTGTGCTGGAGACACCCTTATGGGACAAGACTTGCCTCACTGAGTCTGACCACTGGGTACACTGGCTCTTGGATCTTCAAGGAGGTGCTAATTTAGCCTCTGCCTGAGGACACCCAGCAAGAGCTATGGAGAGATCTGCAGATTCCTCTTCTTTATTTGGGGTTTGGAGGTGCCCAGATGAGGCCCAGCTGTGAAGCATTGCAAATTGCTGTGGGGTCTTGGGCCTTCTTTGGATGTTCTGGGTCTCTCTGATCCAGCTGCAGTTTGTTAGGTAAGTTTAGATTTCAAAGGACCAGGCCATTCATATGCAAAAGCCTTTGTGCACAGCTTGGGTGAGGCAGAGTCTCAGGGTGGAGCAAACAGCAATGGCTTCCCATCAGCCCTACCCTAAGGAGGCCCCCAGGTCTCAGTGTCCCTTGGTAGTCGCTACAAGCACCTCTGAGAGAGTTGCCCTTGAGTTTCACCCAATGCCAGACAGTCCAATCCTCCCCCCCCCCCTCCCCCCATTAAGCATACACTGACGGAAATAAAAAATAATATACAGAGCTCCAACTGGAGTTCAAAGCAGTCGGGAGCTTCTGTCTCCCTCCTATTGAAAAAGACAGCTGCTATCTCAGTTGCCAGCCTTCCCACGTGTACATGTGCATGCACGCGCACCTCTGTACCTCTGCCTTTATTTCTGCACCTCCTCTGAGTCTTTGTGTGCTTTTCTCTCTTCTTCTAGTTGTTGAATTTCCACTCAACAAGCCTTCCTGTGGTTCTGAATGATGTCCGTTTTGTCTTTTAGTTGTAGCTTTGAAGTGGTTGTGCGAGGCAGCAAGTTCAGATGTTTACCTATGCCACCATCTTGGTTTCTCCCTCTCAGCTGGTGATATGTTTTTACTGATTTTGAGAAAGATCGGTTGCTCCCATATGCACCCTGTCTGGGGATCAAACCTATAACCTTTTGGTGTATGGGATGGTGCTTCAACCAACTGAGCCACCTGTCCAGGGCCTTTCTCTTCTCATCTTAACTGGTTATTCTCTGAGTCTGTTTATGCTATTTTGATACTGGGATATTTATTTTTTTAAATATATTTTATTGATTTTTTACAGAGAGGAAGGGAGAGAGCGAGCCAGAAACATCGATGAGAGAGAGTCATCGATCAGCTGCCTCTTTCACACCCCCTTCTGGGGATATGCCTGCAACCAAGGTAATGCCCTCAACCGGAATCTAACCGGGGCCCTTTAGTCCGCAGGCCAACGCTCTATCCACCGAGCCAAACTGGTTTCGGCCTGGGATTTTTTTTATTTTTTTTTTAATCATTATCCTAAGCTCTTCTTTATCAGAACACCTATTTCTTGGATTTAGTGTCTTCCACCTTCTTGGTTTATTCCCTCACTGTGCTAGACCGTGTTCTTTAGTAGCTTTTTGAGAAAGAGCAGGAGGTAAGTTTTTTGGACTTCCCACGCCCGCATCTGAAAAAAGTCTTTATTCTACCCATATTCCGGTTCATATTTTAGCTAAAGCATAGAATTCTAGGTTGGAGATCATTTTGAAAATTTTAAGGCATTGTTTCCAGTATTGCTTTTTAAATCCAATGCCAATTAAAATTTCTAATCCTTTGTATAGGATAAGCTGTTCTCTCTGAAAGCTTTTGGGACCACTCCTTTTCCCCTGTGTTTTTATTTGTTTTTAAACTCACCATGATGAGCTTAGTATGCATCTGTATTTCTTTTTATGTTTTTAATTTACATGAGCTTTCCTAAGGGATGGATAGACACATACACTTATATTTATATGTTTACATGTTTTATGGATGTGTAATCTTCTTTTATTTTTCTGAAGACATTAAATGTAATTTGATTTTAAGTTTCCTGAGCTTCCTTTATTGTCTCTTATTTTCTCAGACTCACTTTTCTGTTTGCTGGTTGGTTTATTTAGATCTCTGCCTTTTATATTAGAAGCTCTCCTCCAATGTCTGGTGATTCCTAGCAAGAGTGAGGTTTTAAGAGTGAGGCTCCGGTCCAGTGATAGGAAGTTCGTTCTGTGTGCGTGGTGGGGGACTTACTGAGTGGCCGGCCTCGCAGTGGCTAATCAGGAAGGGAGCTGGCTGTTCCACAGGGACTTCAAAATGTTGGCGTCTCTACGTCTCTTCTCCTAGGTTAGGTCTGCCGCACTGGGGGCAGTTATCTGAGTGTGTAGTTCAGGGAGGTAATTTAGGTTTCTGACAACTCTTTGTACAAATTTCCATTTTTTAGCCCTATTCCATACTTCTGTCTTCAGATGTATCTGATGCCCTCAAAACTTGAGCTTTTCTGGAGAAAAGCTCCTAGTGGTACTAAGTGAATAACAGTAAATTTGGTGCTGATAATGTTACTAACATTTCTTGGTCACTCTGGTGGAATTCTTCTAATTTTCTTTATTCAATATTTACATATTATGAAAATACAATGTTCTAATTGTAACATTTAAATAATTCTATAAATGTACAAGGTTCTTCTCCTAGTGCCCCTCCATTCCTTCCCCTAAAGTAACTTGTATTATTAACTGATGGTTATGTGTCCAATACCTTTCTTTCTTTCATACGAATATACACAAAAATGTTTTGTTTCTTTAAAAAAAAAAAGTCTCATACTGTACACATTCTGTCGTTTGCTTTAATCAGTTAGTATATCATAAACATCCCTCCAGGTTAATAGAAATAATATAAATTCATTCATTTTAATAACCAAATATTATTTCTTAATATGGTTAGACCATAATCTACTAAACCATTCTGGTGTTGTTTACAATTTTCTTGTTTTGTCTTTTACTATTCCAAATAGTGCTTCAACCAATATCTGTTTATATATCTTCTTATACACTTTTATTTCTTCTTTGCCTTCTCAAATCTTAAAATTTCAGTTTTGATTCATTTGTCATGTGCTTAGAGTACTCTCTAGCATTTTCCTGCAGTAGTATACTAGTTCTTGCCTATCAGACAGCTCCCTAATACATCAGGCCATTAGAGACTCTAAAGCAGTGACGTACCAGGTGGCGGCGGATGGCCCAGCAGCGTTTCCTCCTGGCAGCTGGTGGCCATTAGCTGGAAGCTGTGAGCTCTCTGCTTATAGGTCTCTGTTGTGCGTGACAGTTCTTTTCCAGCTGCAGGGACTGGGGCGCTGCAGGGACTGGGGTGGTTCAGTCCATTACTGCAGCCCTAGATCTCCCCCTGTCTGGCTCCTCCGACTGCAGTGAAACCTAGTCCTTAGCCCAGGCTGAGGGAAAATCTAGTCTTCCCACCCTCAGCTCCCTAGTGCTTCCTTCCCTTGGAGAGAGAGTAGCCCCAGCCTCCTTCCCTTGGAGGAACTTTGGGCCTCAGATGGCCTTCCCCCCCAGTCTGCCTTCGTTCTTTTACTCCCCCGGGTGGTCATTGGGCCAGAGATGAGGTCAGGGGTGAGGTCTGGTCACCATCTTCCCAGAATCTCTTCAGAAACAGCAGGCTTGTTGTTGTTGTTGTCATTAATGTTTCACATATTTTCAGAATTATTCAAATGCATTATATTATTTCCTATTGCTTTTTATGTCAGTATCTAAAACACTCCCCAGTATGTTGCATATGAAAATGGATACTGACCTGCCCTATAGGATTTTAATGTGCAGGGAGATAAGGCTGATCTTGGGGCAGCGATAGCAAAAAGATATTAACTAAAATTATTTTTTAAACGATATCAAAGTAGTCACATGGAAGAGACTGTACTCCGCAGTGACTTTTTTCCTTCTCTCCGTTGTCTAAGGACCTTTATCGCCTGGCTCAGAGACCCAGCATCAGGTTGCATGTGTGTCATGAAAACTTCTTGGATCGGTTCTCAAGTAGACTTTTAGAACATAGTCTTTTCATAAATGCAGGTCTGGTTGTATGAATGTTTTATGAAATGTTACACTTTTGGTTCTATTTTTATGGTTGTAATTGCCTACTTCCCCCTCAACAGGCTTTCCTGATTAGGGACATTGTAGTAACTGGTCCTTTTATAGCCATCTGTAGTATGTGATCTGTCTTATGTTATTTGTTACTTTGGGGGGAAACGCAGGAAATGGCTTACTTCCTTGCCCCAAAAGATCCCAGAGGACAGCAGTGGTCATTTAAAAATGGTCAATAGGAAGGTGACTTGGGAAGTGATCTCTTGTTTTCCAGCCCAGTGCTTTTCTTTTTTTTTTCTTTTTCTTTTTTTAAATATATTTTTATTGATTTCAGAGAGGGAGAGATAGAAACATCAATGGTGAGAGAGAATCATTCATTGATCGGCTGCCTCCTGCACACTTCGCACTGGGGATCGAGTCACAACCCGAGCGTGCTTTGACCAGTAATCGAACCATGACCTCTTGGTTCATGAGTCAACACTCAACCACTGAGCTGCACTGGCTGGGCCCTGCCCAGTGCTTTTCAAGATGATATTGTTCGCCTTAGTTTTCTGTTCACTTTTTTTTTATATATATATATTTTATTGATTTTTTTACAGAGAGGAAGGGAGAGGGATAGAGAACTAGAAACATAGATGAGAGAGAAACATCAACCAGCTGCCTCCTGCACACCCCCTACTGGGGATGTGCCCGCAACCAATATACATGCCCTTGACCGGAATCGAACCCAGGACCCTTCAGTCTACAGACCGATGCTCTATCCACTGAGCCAAACCGTTTTTGGCTTTCTGTTCACTTTTAAGAGTATGATAGATCCAAATAGGATCATCTTAAATGCCAATTTAAATCGCTTTTTTTTTTCCTCCCTTGCAGCATTGCTATGGCAACAAAAGAAAATATGACTTCACAGAGAGGAATGTTGAAGTCAATTCAGAGCAAAATGAACACTTTGGCCAGTATCCTTTCTGAAACTGAAATCTGTGGGTCTTACGGGGGGAAGTCTGCACGCGCTTTGCTCTCACACCGGCACGTGGCCGTCAGCAGCAGCCGAGGCCGTCACTGGTGACGTCATATGAATGTCCCTTGCACTCCCATTTCGTGAAAGTGCGTATTGTTCAGTGCACGTTTTCATATTGCACAAAAAGTGCGCTGTTTCTAAAATAGGGCACACCATAGGTTTATGATTATTAGATTGAAAAAAGTTATAAATATGAACTTTTAATTGTTCACAAAAGTTTTCAAAAGTTCTCATATCCATTTTAGAACTCCACAGAATGCACTACTCTTATCTAAATATAAATGATAAGCTTTTTCTTTTTTCAGTTTGGAGAATAAGTCAGTGGCAGGTGCTTACAAGGGGAAAGGAGGAGACAGACATGCATGGATGAGTTGTAACTGCTTATAGGACATTTTCACTGGAACTGTTACAGGCTAACCTCTAGGGTAGATTCACTGCTTGTTTGTAGTGACCTCTACTGACCTCTACCTTTTTAATTCTTCAGTTTCCAAAGTTAAATTAGTGTTGCCAATACCTGTGAGAAGCCCAGTGGGAACTGCTAAGCCTGCTACTCAAAAACATTTCCTTTACTCTCTAAGAAATCAAACCTATCAGGGATTAAAGTTTCCTTCCCCCATTACTAAGTTTAGTTATCGTCTCATTTTGGATAATTCAAAGTCACTTTTAATTTGATACCTTAGTTGCTAGGGAAAATAACATTCTGAAGTGTATTGGTGTTTGCCATTTTTTGTGAATTTTGTTCTAAAACCACACATCCAAAGTCCTATAGTGCTATATATTTTACAGAATACTGTTCTATACATTATCTTATTTTATCATTACCACAAATTATAATCATCCCAAAAGGATGTATGTGAATAAAACAAATAAAATGGGTGTGAGTCAGGACTCTAGAGAGAGATAGTAACCGAAACCAAATGAAGGCTGACTTAAGGGGGAGAGGAGGGAATTAATTTATACATGTATGTGTGAAATTCAGGGGTGGAATTTGACTTACGGCATGGCTGGATTCAGGGCTTCGGATTTTATTACAAGAATCTGCCTTTCCTCCCTCTGTTCCCCCTGCCTGCTCTATTTTCCTGTGTGTTACCCTCATTTTCGGGCAGGTTCTCCCCGCATGGTGATAGAGATGGCTGTAAGAGTCACCTATCAGTTCAGAAGTCACCATGGGAAAAGGGTGCCCTTTCTAGCCGCTGGGAAATGTCCCTGGAGGACCGTGGTTCCCCAGCTTGAGTCACCGCCTGTTTCTAACTTGTCGCCGCCCTGGGAGGGAGGGAGTGCTCTTTCCGGCCAGTCCTGAGGGTGTGTGTGCACTGGTGGCGGAGGACAGGGTCAGTCCATCCTGTCACAGGAACCATCCGATTATTATACGGGGGGAGGAGGGGAAGGTTCCTCAAAGGCAAGCTGGACAGAAAGATGTCCGCTGCAGACGGTTTCCCAATTCCAAAATTTTCATACTTTTCCGAAGCAGATTATTGATCCTATTTTTACCAAGCAAGGAAAGATTGAGTAAGCATTTGCTTTAAATTATTGTAGATTTGTATCTCATAGAAGTTTTTGCCTGTTACTTCATGCTTCCTGCCCATCTACATTTTAAGAATTATTTCTGCATATTCTTTTTTCATTATTTAATTTAAAAAACACATTAAGCCCTGGCTGGTATGGCTCAGTTGGTTGGAGCGTTGTCCAATACACCGGAAGGTCGCAGGTTCAATCCCGTCATGGCACATACCTAGGTTGCAGGTTCTGTCCCCAGTTGGGACACATATGAGAGGTAACCAATCAATTTTTTTCTCCCTCCCTCCCTCCCTCCCTCTCACTCTCCTCCTCCCTCTCTCCCTCCCTCCTTTCTCTCTCTCTTCCTCTCTGCCCCCCTCCTTCCATCCCTTCCTTCATCTCTCTAAAAAAAAACAAACATAAAACATTAATGTCTTTAGTATATAAAGCTCTACTCTAGATGCACAGGGAAATTTAAGATTAGAAGAAATGTGGTCCTGATCATACAATATGTAGGACATTTAAATATGCAAATATAGTCTCCGCTGGGAGTCATTTTGTTACCGGAGAAATGCGGTGAGGATTCACATGGAGTAGGGATTGTTCCCTCTCCCCTCTAGAGTCCTAGGTGACCTTGGTGGTTTTCCTGACCTTGACCTCTACTAACAAAAGATGCACCTGCACCTTTTGCATTTGGTCTACAACATACAAACTAGGGGATGAAGATATTTTAAAATACTAAGGAAAATACCGTTTTAACTGCTATAAAACCTCTGTAATTGAAAATCTTTTCTTTTTATATGTTCTAGAAATTGAATAACTAGAGTAGTTGAACCCACTTTCCTACCATGTCCTACCTACTGATACAAAGCAAATTATAAAATTTTAGTAACAGTACCTGAGTATGCAGACCCTAGAGTTAGTTTCCACCAATTGCCCAAATCCAAGGGAATTTACCACCCTGTGGGGAGAGGAAGGGCTCACTTCAAATCTCTGGCAAAACTTTCTCGTCACCTTAGAGAAGGAATAGAAAGGGATGGAGAGAGAGAGAGAGGGAGAGAGGGAGAGAGAGAGAGAGAGAGAGAGAGAGAGAGAGAGAGAGAGAGAGAGAGTGTGTGTGTGTGTGTGTGTGTGTGTGTGTGTGTAGGGGGCGGGCGGGAGAGAAGGAATGGGGGGCGGGTGGTAGCTGGCTGTACATTTGCTGCCATGCCCCGTGGGGTTCCTCTGTTGACCAACTTGACCTGAAGCCTGGCAGTAATCCCTTAATGCAGTGGTCGGCAAACTCAAATGTCAGCAGTACAATGATTGAAATTTCTTTTGAGAGTAAAATTTTTTAAACTTAAACTTCTTCTAACGCCACTTCAAAACAAACTCGCCCAGGCCGTGATATTTTGTGGAGGAGCCATACGCAAGGGGCCAAAGAGCCGCACAAGCTCGCGAGCCGCAGTTTGCCAACTATGGCCTTAATGCAGTATAGCTGTCATTATTATTATTTTCTTCTCCCCCTCTCTCTGTTAATTTTTTATTCTTATTTGTGTGCTGCAGTGTCCTAGGAGACTTGAATTTGTTTGGGCCCTGAGCATTTCCAGGTTGTGTGTTTGCTAAAGGCTGCAACTCCCTCAGTGTGGTTTTCTTCCCGTTACTTACTGTTTCTGTGATTTCTGTGACTTTACTAAAGAAGCTTTCAAATATGACCTTAATAAAGATTTCCCAAAGATCGTTTTCCTGCTGTGAACAGCCTGATCCAGCGAATCAACCTTAGGAAGCGGCGAGACTCACTCATCCTGGGCGGTGTTATCGGCGTCTGTACCATCCTATTGCTGCTGTATGCTTTCCATTGATGGGCGCCTCCAGGGACTTGGGACAACTACCACTTTCAGGCCCTGATCTGGAGTAAGGAAAAGCGGAGGGAGAAAGTGACTGCGTGGTAATCAGCCTGACCAGCAGGATCGTTCAGGGCTGAGAGCGCTGGACTCTGTGACCTGGTCCGGCTGAGCTGAATGAAGCCACCGTTTTTCTAACACACTTCCTTCTGTTTTTAGTTTTAAAAAAAGGAAAGGTTTTCAGTTGCTTTTGTCTCCCCAGGGGGTAAGTAAATGAGTCAGAAAGAGAGTCTGCGCTTCAGTGATAGTGTCGGAGGCTGATGGCAAGCCGGGTCGGTCTCTTCGGAAAACCAGGTCTCTCTTTGTCCAAAGACTGCTTTCCTCTTAGCTGCCTGATTGGGTTGTGAATAAAAATAGATCTTGTCCTTTTATTTGACACTCACGATGAAAAGTCACAAGTCGTTTTTAAATCTGTACTATAAATTTCTACTCTGTGTCCCCAACTCTTTTGGTATTCAAGGAAAATTCCATTTTCACAGATTCTTTGAGATGCTGACAGCCCAGCTTCAACAGGGTTGAGGTTGTGTTAAATGATAAACACTGCAAAAAAGCATTTTTCTTTTTTGTAATTCTCACCCAAGGATATGTTTTTATGGATTTTTTTTTTTTTTTTTTTTTTTTTTTTTTGAGAATGAATAAGGGGGAAGGAGAAAGAGAGAGAAACATTGGTTGGTTGCCTCCCATATGTGTCCTGACCAGGAATCAAAACCACAACCTGTTTTGTATACAGACAACGCTCCAACTGAGCCAGTCAGCAGGGGTGTTTTTTGTTTTTTTTTTGTTTTTTTACTCGTGTGCACATTGGGCTTAACTGTATTGCTGGGAAAGCATCAAGAATGATAAGCTTATTTAAAGGATTCTTGTTTTGATTTTTATTTCTTCCATTTGGGTTAGTATTTGCTACTAGAAGACAATGAAATCTTAGTTCTACCAGGACTAAAGAAGCTATAGCCAATGTCTGCCAATGCCCCCAACTATTCCTCCTGTCAGGATTAACACTGATGGCCGAGGGAGGGACTGCTCAGTTCTCAGTGAGATCTGCTGAGCAAGCCGCGTGTAAAAAGACATTGATCAAGGGGTCACCATTCAGATTAATTCCATTTGTAAATGCTCCACGTTTATGAGCAAAAGTTTTAAGAACTACCACCCGATGTAACAGGAATTCTGTGTTCTGTGAAAATCTCTTCATTCCAAATCTTTTAAGCTTTTCCAAACATCCAGAGAAGGGTGTCATTGTCGGAGATGCACGTGACAGAATCTCCGTCTGCACCTGTCTTCTCTTACCATCCCCGGACGAAATCTTAAACCACCCACCAGAATTCTTAAGTTTAACCATTTCGCAGTCTCTGTAAGTTCATTATTTTGTCTAACTGAACTTCCCAAATAGTTTGAAGACTTCCAACATCTACATCCTCACCAAGGAAGAGGCTGCTTCTCACACTGGGACTTCTTACGCTATTTCCAGTACTGGCTTCAGACTGCGCCGGGAATGAAAGAATCTTAGCATACAGTCCCTAGCTACATCCAAGTGTCCATGGTGTGTGTCATTCAGATGAACCTGATGTACAGGCTGATGGGGAAACTAATCCATGGTCTGATGCAGACACTGAAAGGTTTTCCATGCTGGTGTCAGAGTTTTGTTATATTCCGAGTATGAAAGGCATTGGATATTTTTTTAACTATGGGGTTTATTTTTCTAAGTATGGGTTGATTGATCAGTAGTTGATTGGGGGTGCCCTTAAAAGATAGTTTGAGTTTTCCCAATGCGAACCTTCCAGGGTCAGGGAAGGTCATTCATTAAATTGTCTGTTGGGAGAACGCTCTTCTCCCCTGACACTTTATTATCTTTGATTTTTCAAAGGGCTTTGATTGGTGGTTGTACCTCAGCTAGAATTTATGGGACTTTGGTTGCTATATAGTTGGCATTTATAAAATCTGAAGTTTCATAAATAAAATAATTTATTTAATTATACTACCAGTCTTTTTTACTGGTCTGCTTATTTGGTGCATTCATCGAAGCTGGCTGTGTGAGGGTAAACCTAGAACCTGCGCTGATCTAGCTCCTGCCACTGAGGAGCCTTCCCTTAGAGCTCTGCTCACACAAAGGAAGAGAATTGTGCTGGGTCTTTTCTTTGTAAAGATAAAGAGACTAGTTCTTCCAAGGAAGTTGAGCAATTGTGGTGTAGATGTTGCGGTCGGGTAAGTCTGACTAACCTCCCACCCAGTGCTGTAGCCGTAGTGAGGTGTCCCGGGCCAGATGTGGATAGGTAGCGAGGACAGTGCCCCTCCTTCCTCTGCGAGTCCCTTAGGACAGCAGTCGCCAGCCGTGAGGTCTGAAAGGTTGGCGACCGCTGCTTTGGGAGACCTGGAGCAAGAAAAGGAAGCGAGCCATCGACGAGCAGAGGCTCACCGTGGAGCCACGGCAGCTGGTACAAGAACTCGCAGTTTCATGCCACTTTTTCTTTAACCATCTTGGTTTTCCTCCTCTTTTGCCATTCTTACAGAGCGGTTGGTAGGCTCAGGAGCCAACAGGAGGCTACTCTTAGAGAAAGTCCGAGCAGGAGGACTTTTCTATTTCTAGTCCCAAATGTTGCCTCTTAGAGGGAATAGTCTCCCTCAGCTATTGTCATATAATCTTTCCTTTTGGGATCTTCTTTGTAACCACTCAAAACTTTGCAAGTATGAAAAACCATGGCAACATAGAGGCAGAAAATTCCAAAACGCACACCTCTGAGACTGTTTCAGTGTGTTGGGAGAACACCTTTCTTTCTTAAAAAAAAGTTGAATAAATCTCGTAATAAAGTTCAGGCCCAAACGTCCGGGTGCTGTGATCTCTGTCCCGGCTGTCTCTATTGTGATTACTGTTAGATGCCGAAGCATTCCCTGTCACCTGTATTGTCACCCTTGTCTCCTGTTAGAAAAGGCTTTCCTTCTCCATATTTCTCTCTCCGTTGTACCGAGATTCACTTCACAGAGAATGCCATTTCCCATACTGCCCGGGGCCAGATCAGGCATGGGACTGAAGTCCTGAGACCAGAGGGTGATGAGAGGGGAGACATCATGAGACTTTGTACCTGGAATCAAATATCTTTACTTTAGTTCTTTCCTATTAGATGCTAAATAAATCTGAATAGAGGGATGTACCTATTGAGCCTTTTGGCCTCTAAATAATTGAGGCACCTTGGACTCGCATTCCCACCATTAACTTTCTGTTTCACTGTTAATAATCTCAACTTGGTGAAAAGGACTTTAAAAAACTGGACTAGCCTTTTGGTTTCTAATACCTTATGTTTGATCATCAATCAGATGCGATTTCTTGGAAACTGAGTTCTCTAACTTGTAACATTAAGCTGATGAGGCTAAGTGGCCATGCCTAGTGTCACACTGGATTTTGTGGCAAATGTAACTGAAGAACAAATGGATTCTACTCAGAAAATTAAAATGGTTGTGTTCCATTCTCCTCTTGGGTTAGGGGTTGTTTAGCTGGTCTCCAAAAAGATGAGAGCTTTACATCATGGACTTTGTAACCTAATCTTATTATTCCTTTATAAATCTGTGTGTCCCTCTTATAGGGGAAAAGGAAATGAGGAACAAGTGATTCTTAAGGATGTTAATTGGATAAGCTGAGCCATGTCTTTCTCATTTTCTTTATACATAAGGTCTCACTTCAGTATCAAAGTATTTGCATTTATTGCCATCCTATTAGCTCTTAGGGAGGGGAATCGATTCCAATCACATTTTACCATGATGGAAGATGTTTACTCTTGAAAAATGCCAATACAGATTTATAAAAATCTATTCCAAATGCACTTTCTAATTTTTTGCTTTTAAAATGGCTTCTTGGAAACCAGTTTAATTGTATTTGTATTTAATTTTTGTTCTCATCTAAATGTGCATTTTCTGACTGTATAGAAGAAGCTTTGTTATGTAATTTAATAATAAACTAGAAATCTAAATGGTTGTGCCTCTGGTTGTTTGTATTGGAATAGTACCATCAAGGCAGTTGGGGTAGTGATTATGCAATCTTTGGTTTTGGTATTTCTCTTGATGGCCTGTAACCCAGGGTGAAGCATTACAGGTACTGAAAATCCACCACCAGTTATTCCAAATCATCATATAAATATTCCACTAGTAATTTAGCCCAAGAAGTGAAGGAGACTTCTCTTATCAAAACAAAACTTCAGAACATAGGTTGGGACTGTAAAATTTAAAATTTAGCAAGAAAAATGTCTTCCTAAATAATGACTTCCTAACCTATAGATCAGAACTTGATTCTCCACCTCACCAGAGAATTGGAAAATTCCCCCTTTCTCATTACCTCTCCAAATGTTATGTTTTCTGGGTGTGTGTGTTTTTAATAACAGTATAATTGAGATATAATTCACATGCCATAAAACTCACCCTTTTAAAATGCACTGATAGGTTTTAATATGTTAGTTGTGCAGCCCGTAGCACTATCTAACTTTGGGACATTTTTATCCCTTCCCTCCCTCCCTCCCCCCCAGAGGAACCCTGTGCCCATTAGCAGGGACTTTCCATCCCCCTCTTCGTCCTTTCTGACCACACTGTGCTTCCCTTCTCAGCCACCCCAGCTTTTCCCTCCGCCCGCTCACGGGGCCTCTCAGGCGGGATTCTCTCTGTGGCTGCCTCGCCCTGTGCAGCCCGCCTGTGTGTGCACACCTGCACGCGGGCATGCAAACAACCCACTGCCACATGGCGAGGCCGCCTTGCTGTCATACAGGGACCAGCCCAGGAGGATTAAGTAACTTGCTCACCATCAGAGTGAATAGTAAAGCAAGGCTTTGAATCCTGCCGGCTCTTTAATGCCAACAAATCTTGTTAGTTCCACAAAATATACTTTGAATGGTGCCGTGTGATTAGGAGAGAAGCTGTAAAAGAACCACCAGTTTTGCCTGTTTAAAGGTAACGCATTTAGACTCTATTAAAAGCCCTGCAGCTTGATTATTTTCAAGGAAGGCTAACTAGCAGCTAAAGGCTTAATAAAAAGGTCTCATTTGTGAAATCACTTTTTCTTTACAAGAACTAAGGCATTGATGGAGAAGATATTTTTCTAGTGGCGTTACTCTAAACTAGGGGTGTCGAACTCAATCAGAGAAGGGGCCAAAATCTAAAATCCAGCCTAAATCGCGGGCCGAATGGTTTACTGAACAGTCATAAACTGTCATTGTGATGGAAACGCGGTGTGGGCCACATTGCAAGGCCTGGCGGGACGGATTTGGCCCTCGGGCCTTGTGTTTGACACATGTGCTCTAAACCAAACTTCCTACCCAACTCTGTGCCTTCTCACTTAGAAACACAGGTCAGCACTGGCCAGGTAGCTCAGTTAGTTAGACCGGTGGTCGGCACACTGCAGCTCTCGAGCCACATGCAGCTCTCTGGCCCCTTGAGTGCGGCTCTCCCACAAAATACCACAGCTTGGGCGTGTCTATTTTGAAGAAGTGGCGTTAGAAGAAGTTTAAGTTTTAAAAAATGTGGCTCTCAAAAGAAATTTCAATTGTTGTCTTGATATTTGGCTCTGTGGACTGAGTTTGCCGATCACTGGGTTAGAGTGTCGTCCTCATACTCCACGGTTGTGGTTTGATCCCCGGTCAGGGCACATACAAGAATCAACCAATGAATACATACATAAGTGGAACAAATCAATAAATTGATGTGTCTCTTTCCCCTTCCTTTCTAAGATCAATTTTTTAAAAAGAAACCACGGAGGTCTCCCTGGAGGTGGCAGACAAAGCACCTCAGCACAGATCCCCAGTCAGTGCCCCAAACGGGGGTGGGGTGCATGTCCCTTCCTGGTGGAATGGCTTTGACAGGTGCCACTCCTGCTGAACCTGGCCTTTCCTTAGGCAGGAAAAACTCATCGGCTCTGCCCGCCTCATCGGACCTCAGAGCTGCTTAGAAGCAAAAACAGGTGGGCAGGGGGCTGCAGAATCACTGGAGGTGGTTGCTTTTGGAGCATTTTCTCTTGTTTCTCTGAGGCAGAAGCCGAGAGAAAAATATTTTCCTCCTGAAGATGCAGATCTGCTGGCTGGGTTGGAATAGAGAAGGATGAAGGCACTTTAGCCTGATGCCTTCTGCTCTACTCGGCCGAGCTTCACCCCTTGGCAGAGCTGCTGAGCTCGCAAAGCTCTTTATTACTTACTCCTCGGTAGGCGCTTAAAAGCTAAGAAGATTGGGTGCTGAAAGCCTGCAACTTTCTGCTTGGAGGAATCCCAGAGGTCACAGTGTTCTCTCTCCTCGCCCTTGTAACATTACCTTCTCTTCCCGACCCTGATCATCTTCCCTCCTTTGAGATAGAAAGCTCTTAGGAAAGTCAGTTTCTCATAATTAGTATATATGTCTTTCAGATACTTTCAAACAGCTAGTTGGTCTTTTATCAACGAAGTTGCTTCCAGCATCAGGGGGAGCAGGAAAAAAATAGCCGGTAGCTACTTGTAACTCAGTGCTAAAATGTGTGGATTAAATATCATCATTTGACAAGTTATCTCTAAACGAATGTGTCACTTAACTCTTACAGCTGAGAATATGGCATTGTGTGGCTTTCATGCTGGACTAAGTCCTGGGTCCTCTCCATTTCCCTCTCTGGTCCGACGTTGCTTGTGTCGGATCACCAGACTTGTGTGTAACCGCCACCCTCTGAGTGGGTGCCCTGCCTCTCACCTCACCCTCTCACCCCGCTCTGCATACAGCTGTCGTCTATCTTCCTAAATAACTTCCGGCCTCCCATTGCTGTCAGGAATGTTTGGCAGCTCCCTGTCACCTGTGCCAGGGTGTTCTCATAACTGGAAGGTACGGCATTTTGCTTCATTCATGCATACAGCACACAGAGAAATAACCAAGTCCTGTTCACTCAGGGAGGCGGTATTGTCCTTTTACGGATGGGAACTAAAGAGACCAGAGTACAGCAGTCCTCGAATAACATAGTTTCCTTCAATGTCACTTTGTTATAATGTCGATAGATGCTACAGCAACTTAACTCATATATATTATATTTTTAATTGATTTCAAAGAAAGAAAGGGAGAGGGAGAGAAAGATAGAAACATCAATGGTGAGAGGGAATCATTGATTGGTTACCTCCCACATACCCCATTCTGGGGATCCAGCCCACAACCTAGGCATGTGCCCTGACCAGGAATCAAACTGTGACCTCTTGGTTTATGGGTCAGTACTCAACTACTGAGCCATACCAGCTGGGTCTTAACTAACTCTCTCTCTCTCTCTCTCTCTCTCTCTCTCTCTCTCTCTCTCTCTCTCTATATATATATATATATATATATATATATATAATCAATTAGCCTGTGGTAAAGTTGATTTCATTATACATCATTTGTTAAAGTCACAACCTATATCAACGTTGTGAGGACTAATTGCTCCTGATAGCTACCAGCTGCCTTTTGCCTAACTTCATCCCTCGTGAACTATAATCAGCAGTGAAAAGAATGAGGCTTGGAGTGCAAAGTCCTATATTCTGACCCTGGATTTGATACTTTTAGACCATGGACAATCATTAACTCATTCTCTGAGTTCAGTTTTCTCATCTGCAAAATGGACTCTAGCAACTTTATGCAGTCGTAAAAATCAAATCAAATAGGTGATTACACTGGCACATTATTCCTCAGAATATTCTCAGCAAGTAATCTGGAGGCCAGGGGGTTTCCATTAGTCTGCAAGGCCCTGGAGAGCCGGGCATGTTCTCTTCATCTTTATATCCTGTGTATGAGCTTTATGCAAAAACTCACATAAATCTTTTTCCAAATCCAATTGAATGTGACTCGGGGCCCCCAACCTTTGGGGGTGATGACATGCACATGGAGGAGTTGGTTGCACAATGATGCGAATGGACTAAGTGCCCCTGAGTCGTATTCTTTAAATAATTAATTTTGTGTTGTGTGAACTTCACCTCAGTTTTTTAGAAAAGGGGACTACTTCAATGGCCTTGCCTCTGGGAAGACTTCCTGACCTGCCCCTCCTCAGAATCTCCTATTTTCCTCCGTGCTCCCACCACCCCACCGATGGACAATGTTTTCATTGATTTTAGAGAGGGAGGAAGGAAGAGCGAGAGAGACTTTATGGGTTGTTTATTTTACATGTGGAATATCAGCGAAGGATAGTGAGAAGATGGTAGGAGCATTTGCCTCTGGGGATGAGCAAGCTGGAAGTTACAGACGAAAGGCACTCTTGATTTCGCACCCTGCGTAGACTGCATTTTCCCATTGTTTTAGATGATACTTTTTCAGAGAAGCAGGCTGCTCTGAAGAATGTCAGCATAGAAACACGTTTTTCACGGGTGGGTGGAGACTCTTCTGGGCAGCTGCACGCCGGTGGGAAACGGGAGCGCTGGCCCCTAATGGCCCCGGGAGCCCCTCCCAGCGCATCGCACTGAATCATTTATGGTCGTGCACGAGTGGCAGTCAGCGTCTGGGCTGCGGCTCTCCTAAGACCCCATCCCACAGGCCCGGTATTTCCATTTCAGTGAACACGGTTCCAGCTCTTTCATTTCCTCCCTCTGCCCTGCTGAAGGTGCCTATGGGAAGAGAACCCACGAGTGGCTCTCCCACCCTGTCTGTGATTTTAAAAAATGGAGTAAAGTTTCCTTCTCTCAGCCTGCTCTCTGCTTCCGGCCCTGCTTCCCACTGGGACATGGCTGAGGTTTGTAGGGGTGTTGCCGACGCCAGTAGGTAAGTGCCTCCTCCAAGTTCATGTCCTTTTCGCGGTGAGTCACTAAGACCTCTTTGTGACTGTGTTCTGGTTCTGCTCTTTGACCCAACCCACTGATCAGTTCATAAAAATTTCACATAAACTAAAATTTATTCCCTAGACGGGGCTTGGTTCTATCATTAATATTTAAGTCCAAGGAAACGCGGGCATTTGCCTTAGAGAAGTTCTTTATTGCAGGGGAAGATCTATATAGTGTAGTCATTGATTGTTCTATGGTAT